TGGCAAGAGGGAGGTAAAGATAGATGGGGTGGTGATGGGGAAGAGATGGAGGGAGTGAGGCCACGAGAGTCAATGATACAAAGGGGGAGGGGTGTAATATGAAGAGAGGGAGGTAAAGAGGGGGCAGAGAAAGACGAAATGAAAAGTTGGATACAGGCTGGCAGGGACGGAGAGATAGAGGCAGAGAGACAGGGTCTCTAGTAGGGCGATCTTGTCTCTCATATTCTGAAAGCATGTCCCAAACATTCTTTTCATGGGTCTGTTGCCATCTTTAGTCCTAGCCGTCTCTAACACTTCGTTATTTGTGATAAATTAATCCCATTTATTTATAGAATTCCTCAAACATTTTGTTTGAAGGTTTTAAAATTTCGTTTAATTTTTTTATAGCCTAAACATTGCTATTATGATAAATTTTTAAATTCAATGAGATGATGGGAGTAAATATGACATTTCTCCATCCATGCTCTACTTTTCTCCACCCCCTCTCCCGCCACTCATTCAACCATCACAACCCCACCAACTACCACCTGAACTTACCACACACCACCCTCCATCCATTACCCTTCCCCCATCCCTCATTCAACCCACCAACAACCTTTACCTACAACCCACCCCCTCCTACATCCTACCCACCTCTTCACCCTCAACCAACCACCCACCATCTAATCCCACACCCTCCACGACAACCCCACCACCCACCACTTCAATCCACCACCTCAATCCACCACCTCAACCCACCACTTCAACACAAACCTACCACCCACCTCCCCACACCCTTCACTTCAACCCTACCACCCACCACCCCAACCCACCACCTCAACCCTCCCACTCACCTCCATCCACCAACCGCCCCAACCCACCACCTCAACCCTCCCACTCACCTCCATCCACCAACCGCCCCCAGATGCACAAAGCTACGCCTCCCGTGCGACGCCTACCCCTGTCTGAACGGAGCGCGCTGTGAACCTTACGGGAACATCAGGAGGAGGTGTCTGTGTCAGCAGGGGTATACAGGGGACTCGTGTGAACTGGACATAGGTGAGAGAGAGAGAGAGACAGACAGACAGACAGACAGACAGACAGACAGACAGACAGACAGACAGACAGA